CTTGAGTTAGCTTAGCTTGAGTGAGAGTAGCTATGCTATGAAATGACACGCTAGCTTCTGTGTCCACATTGGTGCTGCACTCACTTGTGTATGGTGCTAAAACTTCTGGGGTCCCATCCTGTGGTTCTTTGCACTGCACTAAGGTCAGTTACTGTATGAATCTTTCCCCAGTAAATTGTGGAGAACTTGTCTGTCCTTTTTGGGCAAACAGGGGAAATCGTGCGAAGGCTCTGGAGGACTAGCAGCACTTGAATGGCACTAGCCTGTATCCATACTACAGAGTGTTCATGTTAGCAGCTAACTCAAGCTTTAGTCTCTTACCTCCTGACAGGCTAGACAACTGAAGTTAAAATCACCATCAGACTTGAGTAAAGGGGTTTTGTTTGTAGATGGAACTCGGGGCAACACTCAAGTTAGAACACGAGTTAACTGCAGTGAAGACAAGCACTAAAGCAAAGAGGAGACCATGTTGCATCATGGGAGATGTAGTCCAGCCAGGGACCTGGAGAATAGGGAAGAATGGGGACATCAGGCATCCAAACTACAACTCCCATGAAGCAGTGTGCCACCATAGGGAGATGAAATGTAACGTTGAACTGACTTGAAAGAAACATTTCAGTTCAGCACATGAAAATATTTCAGTTTGCATTGAACCATCCTGAAACAAAATAACCTGTTTTAATTTTCCATCAGGAAAAACTGAAAAATTTCACCCAGGAGTTGAAACTGCATTTTCTGTCCAAAAAAACCCACATTTGGATGGAAAAATTCTGACCAGCTCTAATTAGAACAAAAAAGGAGTAACCCACAGATTGGTGGATTATTAGCACCATCCAGAATGGCAATAGGAGAAGAAAACAATCCAATGAGCAGACGCTTGAGGGGTATCACCTAACACCAATAAAGGTCTGTATAAGTGGGGAAAGAGGCTGGGTGGTTCAATGGGATAATTCACTAGCTATTCCTTTCAGGAGATCCAGACAATCTAGAGATGGACCAGAGTCATAGAGCAGTGCCAGAGGATGGACCTACATCCATACTGTGATGTTGCACTCTATATGTTTTATGGAAATATGCTTATGAGTGTGAATATGATGTAACTGGAATATGCTTTATGCAAAAGGTCTCTTGTAAGGTATTATAACAAAGGTTATAACCTACTGACTATATTCCTCTTATTTGTATGCATGTAACATTCTTGCATATATACCTCCAGACCAGTGGCACCGCTATGGGCACCCGCATGGCCCCACAATATGCCAACATTTTTATGGCTGACCTGGAACAACGCTTCCTCAGCTCTCGTCCACTCACTCCCCTTCTCCACCTATGCTACATTGATGACATCTTCATCATCTGGACCCATGGGAAGGAGAACCTGGAAGAATTCCACCATGATTTCAACAGCTTCCACCTCACCATCAACCTCAGCCTGGACCAATCTACATGGGAGGTCCACTTCCTAGACACCACAGTACAAATAAGCGATGGCCACGTTAACACCACCCTATACCGAAAACCCACTGACCGCTACGCCTACCTTCATGCCTTCAGCTTCCACCCCGGACACACCACACGATCCATCATCTACAGCCAAGT